GTCTTCTTCCACTAAAAATTATATTGATGTTTGTGGCGAGATTAGCGAATGTAATACTACGGCAGCTTCGCAGCAGCGTCTTCTTAGCGGTGGTACTGGTTCTAGACAGTTGAAGCAGGAGGAGTCAATTGTTGCTGCTACCAGTGTTTGTGCAGTCACTAATGATACACCTAACATGAGCACTCATGATGAGGTTGTTTTTAAAATCAAATTTCCTAATGCTGTTTTTCTAGTTAATGTGTTGGTGTTGCTTTGCTTCGATGCCGAATTTAAGTATTGTTAAAACCCGGTAGTCTTAACTTATTCAACACTGAATTTAGTGATGATTAAATGCTAAAAGATTTTATTGCAAAAGTGGCATTAGAAAAGTCCTGAAATTAAAAAAGAAATTATTTATTCTGATGAATTTCTACCGGAATATATGCCAATTCAAGAAAATTTTAGGCTGGTTGCATGGCAAGTCTGTTTCATACCCCCCCTTGGGCATCAATGGCTATTCTTCCGCCACATAATTTAGCCCAGCAGCAGGGAGGCGTCACACGAGAAGTTGTTGGAAGTACAAATCATCCATTAGCGATGCGTTATTCAAGTTTTGATGGAACTGCTGCTGCTGCTGCTGCTGCTGCGAAGGATCCTATGAATCCGATGAATGCACCTCTTTATCAAGTTAGTATTTTCCCTAATGTGTTCAAATACTTATACGTTTATGCTATGATGAATCGAAGTTAAAGAATGGACATGGTATGGCGATGACCGTGGCTTCCAGATTCCGTGAGTTAGATTATTAGATTAGTGAGAGGCGATATTATATTATTATTATAATTATATGTAATTCATGATTACCGGGAATATTTCCGAAAAAAAAATTACAAAAACTCTGAAATATGTTAAGTACAAAGGTGTTTTCATTGCTGGATCAAAGTGTGTTAGCCCATTATATTCCTTAGTTTCTATTATCCCTAGCTGATGCCAATTAGGCACATCATCTGGTATGATTACCGGTTATAACAAAATGCGTAAGCCATTCAGGACTGTATTATCTCCGCATTTTATAGGGAACATACCTGTAAAGATGCATAATCATTGCTGCAATAGATGATAAAAAAACACTGAAGGTTTTCGAATTTTATAAAGAAGGATGATTAGTTGTTATAAATATTTTCCTTTCTTTTGAGTGGGGAGCAGGTTCCATATTTTCTTGGTTACGCAAACCTGAATGCTGGTTTACCACGAATATTGTAATTGCAATTTTAAATTTAAATTCAAAAAAATACTGCTACATCTTCGTAGCCTTTCCTATTCACATTCCAATTTTTACAAGACTTATCCCTACATTTTTCGCTGTACTTTCGCCAACACTATGAAGGGATATTTGGCACGCCACGTGCTGCAGCAGCATGCATATTACTAAATAATATCAGTGCAGTGGAACTGCTATACGAGCATTTATTCCACGTCATTAAGTGCCGCGATTACTATTTTTAATTTGTCAATCTTCTTGGTCTGTTATTTCGGATAATTCTTCAATATTGATGCTTGTAAAATAATTGAAGTTCTTTCATTATAGCTTAATAACGGCAGTTATCTTCTTTCATTATAGCTTAATAACGGCAATTATCAACAAAAAAAAAAGATTGAATCAAATGTTAGACATCAAAGTGTGATTGTCTATCGATGGGAAGGATTTTTCTTCGGCAGAATTATTTTCCATTTCTGTAGTTGTTTTCTTTTGGTGAATACTATAATCAATTCTAGATTTCTTTTAGTGAAAATACGATCTCGGTTTAAGACATCTATTTTATTGCTATAAAAATATTGATAAAATGAGTTTTTGATTATCTGCATTGTTATCGTTTCTCTCACATCTTTTTGATTCCATGATTCTGAATCTTACTGATAAAACTCGTAGTTCTATGAATGTTACTGCCAGTGCAAAAATTTATGGTCGACTACTTTTTTAAACCGGATTTTTCAACAAAAGAAACATGGAAGAGGAATGCGCCTGCAAAAATCATAAGAATTTGGAAATTGTTATAGCTGGATTTTTCAACTCTTATTCCACCGGACTAAGAATTTACACATGGTGGATAGGGGACAGGGATGCTCTCATGAATACAATTTAAGCTAAGTCATGTTACTGATTTGTAGTTCTCTTAATTATTTTTTTAAGCTATTCGAGTCATGTTATTAATTTGTAGTTCTCTTTGGCATTTAATAAGAGTGAAAGTAGTCTTAACATCGCATTTTAGTACACCGTGATTTATACTTTTTTTGTGCGGGAAATTTAGAAAAAGAAGTGAAGATGTGGAAATTATTGTTGTTACTAGGCAGAATTTCCTTACTTCGTCCTCTGATTTTTTATTTACTTTCTTTTTATTGGATCTTTCGTTTTTCAGTCAGACTTTTGTTGTGGCATATTTTCAGTTGATTCGGTTTTCGCCTAATTATCTAATGAAAGGAAAACGTTGAATGTAATGGAAAAAAAAAGTGTCGTAGTTTTCGAATATGTGTATATCCGCAATATCGCGTATGCTCATTATTCGAGCTCTCTCTATTCACATTTTGTTTCCCTTTTTCACTCATTCTCGAAAGAAATGAAACACCCATATTTTTACCCACTCCACTTCGTTTTTTCGCGACAGCGATTGGAACAAAACATTTAGTTTTTGTTCGTCTTCCATTTTTTTTTTTTTTTCAACCATTTATTTTCTTTTTTCGCCAATTTTTTTTTCTATATTAAATGCTGATATAGGGAAATGTCAAGCAACGTTTACTTTTTATACTGTTCTTGGTGATATACACATTTTCTCCATAAAATTGCATCAATAGTAGATAGATAATAACGAAGGTCGCATAAGCTGTGCTTTTTAGTAGGTTAAGAACTATGATGAAAACCAGTTAGGCATTCTTCGGAGGGATTGTCGTCTGAGTACATTCAAGCTTCCGTCTATCTTCATCTCATTCTTTTCACTGTGCACTTTAGGTGTACTCCAATTATAACATTTACGATTGTGATCTTCATGATTCCTATGGTAATAGGCTTTCCCATCCTTAATTTCTCTGTCATTTTTTGTTGGATATTTTAATCCTTTCTGAGATATTAATATATCTTCTAAACTTGAAGAAAAATGTTTGTTTCAGTATTTTACGTACTAGTTATATCAAATTACGTTTCCATATATTTCATGTAAAGACTGCAGTTTCCGGGTTGAGTATGAATAGCTGATTAGATGGTCGGTTGTACCCTTTCCGGCTACTCTTCGCAAGTAATTTGCTGATTGTATTGTTTTTTTGCAGATCAAAAGAAGTAATAGAAGTAGAATGCATCATTTGGTCTGATGGAACTGAGTAAATGATAGTTGTCATGTGGTTGGTTTTGTGACAGGTTATAAAAGATGTAAGCGTTGTAGGTTCCTCTTTTTCCCCCTCTTCTTTCTGTCTTTCTCTTTCTCTTAGCTGTTGTACTCCGCTATGTGAAAATATCTATTTTTTGTGCTGAGAAAGGAGGAGAAGAAAAAAAAAAAAAAAAAAAACTATCACTGCGAAAGTTTGAAAGAAGTTCGATTGGCCGATCAGCAGTTTCAATAGTTTGCTGATTTTCGCAGAAGAAAGAGGGTAGTTTGTTTACAACAGTAGCAAGGAAGTGCACTGGAATCAAATTTCTTGAACGAGTTGTTAAAAAAGGATTCATGTCCAGAATAAAGTACAACAATAGCTGTTAACATTTGTTGTACTTCTCGGATAGTTTCAAGAGTCAGGATTTATTCATGAATATGTAGCTAGAGAGTCTATGTTGCTGAAAAATGGGGAACAACTGCTGAAGATTTTGTACAAGCAAGGAAGCATTTTTTAGTAAGTTTCCTGCTATTTTGTTTTGAATGCTCCGCAGAATTTTCATCGGTTGTATTATTATATCGCATATTAAATATGCTCTATTAAAGGTTAGGTTGGTAGAGAGGCACTAGGTAAAAATCATGTAAATTTCGGATCGAGAATATTTTAAAGAAATAATCGTGGTTATGCTTTTCTATCCTTCTACAGCCAATGCTTAATTAGCTGGAAACAAAAGATAAAGATTTATTGATCCATAAGTTAGAGGAACGAAGTGTTGGCTTTTTTCTTCTGTGCGGAGTGTGCAAAAATTACTTTGTTTTAAATTTCAATAAAGGCAGTGTCAATTTTTTAAGGACGAAATATGGTTTTACGCTTCATAAATTATCACAGCCTTTTATGTTCTTTTGATTATTATTTGTTGTTTCATTATCTTTATTCTAAATACGCACGTAATTTCAAGCTGTCAATGGTTTACCTGCACTTTTTTCACAATTATATCTACAGTTTTTCTTGAAGTCTCTTTTTCCTCAAATTCTAAGTACGCTAAATTATTGGAAATTACTAAAAAATTTCTTTTTCTCCCAAGTTTGATTCAGAATGGCGGAATGAGTCAGTCATAAAGCAAAGTATTTTCTTAATGCTGCTTATAGAAAGATAGTTTTCAAAGTATAATTAATATATGCACGAAATTTATCGGAATTTGGTCACTGTCTCTATGTATAATAAATGGCAGACGATGTGCTGTTTCTCATATTCCTTAGCCGTTTCTACTTTTTTTTCTACCAGTGTAACCGCTAAAATGATCTGAAATAAAAATTTGAAGTTTAGTTTTGAGTGATTGGGTTATTCATCTTGTTTTGTTTCCTTTTTCTTTTATTGTTAGCATATGTATAAATTAAGGCAGCGCTTCGTCTAAGAGACTCTGTGATGAGAATGTAAACGATTACACTTTGTTCTGATTTATCAGATTTGTGCTGTATTGTTGCAGAACAACATAAATAATATTCTAATCAATTTATTTGTTTGCCTACATCATGGGCCTGCTTCTTGTTCCTCTCGTCATATTTGTCACGAGAACAGCTTGATTTCAATACATTGCAATTGATATTAGTAAACGCTAATGGATACCAGGTGTATAATTATGCCGAGTTACTGGTCATTTCCGAATGGTACGTTTTCGTATAGCTGGTAGTCCGTTGTTGTACAACTCAGCGTGTTTCTTCATCGTGCTACCTGACTGTATTGTTAAGCAAGTATCCGTGGCGTTATCTAATGTTGAATATCACGGCAAATATAAACATAGATCATCTTTTAATCTGCTGTACAAATTGGGTCCAAAGGATGTTAGTTATCTGCTTTGTTATTATTTCATAATCATCACTGATGTGTTTTTTTATTTCTTGCTTCCGACTGTATACTGTTTTGTAGGAAAAATGATTTTTGATTTATGTAAAAATGGGATGCTTAATTTAAAACCTTTTGAAAGAATATTTGAATGGATTTGGACTAGCAGGGTTTTTCTCCTCACTTAAATATGTGTCGTGAAGTCCGGAAGACTTCGCAACTGTCCTCAGTTTGTGCTCAGTGGTTACTTATATTTGATTTATTTTTTATTAGTTACATTTTTTTTTAGTTCAGAAGTACCAATTTTACGGTACAGTGGTAAACAAGCAGTCACGTTATCTCGATTTGCTTCCATGAATGAATGCTTTATTTATAAAAGAGGAATATAGATAGTGCTTTTCACTTTTATCCACGATATTTTGTGAAGTGGCTTCTGTCTCAGTTTATCAATATTGTTTGCTTGCTGATACGCTTTGTGAAGCACGAAAGATTTTTTTCTTACATTATTATAGAAAATCTATCTATTATTTATTTGAAATCATCTGCGAGCAATTTTTGGTCTCTTTCTTATTCCCCTATTCATTTTTAGAAATGAGAATTTTCTCGGTTTTGTTTTGCAACAAATTTTAATTTTGTTTGAAATTTGAGCTTTTAGTGATAGAAAGATTGTTAGAGTTTTTTTCAGAAAAAGTGGGGAAAAGTTTTTTTAAAAAAAAACGTCATTGCAATTTTTTCATTCATATTTTGGAAGTTACTGTTATGGTTGTTGTTGTTGTTGTCACTGGTTTTTGCTTCTTGGCGTAGTTAGTGGCATATTTTTTTAAAATTTCTTTTTTTATTACCGTAAATGGAACAGGGCCTGATCCATCTTATCAGAAGAGAAGTTTTTCCTTACATCAATTGAAAATGTTTCAAAAAAGACTGACTGACTCCATGTTATAACGGACCACAGTACAGCTGGAAAATTTTCCATTCATTTCCACAATTCATTCATGCTGGTTTCATCTGTTCTATCCACAGCTCTCCCCATTCCTTTGCTTACTTTCAAAAAAAAAAAAAAAAAGAAAAAAAGAGAAACAAGCACGAGAGGTAGCACTTTTTACCCTTCTCGTCCTTTTCTCCCCTCTCCTCATTCTCCTACAAAAAGCTCCCCAATACAAAAGCAAGCTTTTCCAGATTTTTTCTCTCCCCTCCTCTTCCTTTTTCCTATCTTTTCTTCAGTCTCTACTTCTGTTGCACATCTTACTCCATTTCTGCTATTCCTACAAATAACAATTTTCTTTTTAAAATTTTTATGCAAATTTGCTATAAAAGCTCTTGGGCAGGTCTCACTTAGTCTCAGTTTTGCAACCCTTCCCTTCATTAGGGGTGTCTTTCATCGATTCGAAATACTTCGTTCGGATGATGTCTTTTGATTATTCTTTTGATTCTTCACGAACTTTCAGAATAAGAGGGTATTGTCTTGACAACAGTCTAACCAGCTGATAGTTGTTAAGATAGTGTGAAATGGGATGTTGACCAGAACCCTCGGAAGATTAGTTGATGTGGTAATGCGGTACCATCGGACGTGCAGCGTAACAAAACGACACGCTGTAATGGGATGGTGCTGGTACTCTGCATTAAAGGAGAATCTGCTGTACTCAGAAGGTTTTTACTAGAAAGAATGGGTTGACGCGGACAGGCGGGCTGAAACAGGGTAGGTTGCCGTGTCTGATGGATTTTTTCTGCATAATTTGATCAAAAATGAAGATCAGAATTAGGTTTTGGGATATTTTCAGTTTCAAGATTTGGATATGATAGCAAGTATAGTGGCTAAGGAACAAGCACTACTGAAGATGAATACAGCAGCCGCAGCATCAAGCACTGCAGAACATGGTCGTTTGGCAGGCTTTGCTATACCGAGTCGCGCACATACTCAGGTTATAGTTAACGGGTATGTATCGTGAATACGATATTTTTTGCCTATCATAATGCTTATGAAAATAACGAATTATGCGAGATTGCTTTTGCTTTATTTTTTTACAATTTCCACGTCTGGTTGAAGATTCAATTAATTTTCTTTCCGAGTAAAATTTTAAGTTCTTAGAATTTTTTTTTTTTTTTTGAGACATGATATGAACTTGCATTCAGTGTGCGGGAAATAGCCTGAAACCTTAAAGGCTTTTTCTGGACATTTCCCACATATTGAATAAAACTCGTATTTATTCAATTATTCGTAGACTTTCTAGTTTTTGACTATCTATCTGTATGCATGCACTTAATATCTTAAATGTTGCATTTATCTGTCTCTCTCCTTTTGAAAATACTAACAAAATAGGTTTAATTGCAGAGCACGAGAGAATATGTCATCACCAAGTGAAATGTCACCAACTTCATGCTCTCCATCATCATCCGACACATTGCAAAGCACCCAAGGGGGGACCAGTACTGCAATTCATGCACATAACGAACATCCCGGCCCGGAAGACACTGCACCCAAAAGTGGGAATGGTTAGTGCAAACACTTATTGTTTTCACAACAATTTCGTGTACTGTTTTTAAAAGATATGAATGAAACTAATAATCCCTAGAATACTTACGACTTGCAACTTCTGTTAAAATATTTGTTTTCCAAAAAATTTTCTTGTCACGTTGTGTGAAAATAGAAACAGTGAATTGACAGACTCCAGTCTCTTGAATAAGCAGTTGAGGTGCAACATTTGAGAATATTTTCTTTTATATTAAGTATTTTTATCAAAAACGTACACCATCTATCAAGACTCAGTGACTTGCCATTTTCAGAATCACCTGTTGATGTGACGAGTCTCATGAAAGGTATTTCCTTTTTCCTTTTAAATTTTTACGTAGTATTCTGATTCATATTCATTTAGTATCGTATGTACTGAGGGGGTGACATGAATTTATGTTAAAAAATACAAGCGTTGTAGAAAATGAAATGGATGTGGGCTATTTCGTTGTAAGCCACTTGAACGGAAATTTAGGCAACAGAGATCTAATGCCGTTTATTTCTGTCAATCAACTAACACCATCGGCCTCTGCAGTAGGTAAACACATCGTCTATTTCTTTTGAACTTTCTAAGACGATGATGTCCTTGATGATTTTTATTGATCAAAGTAATGAAGAATGTATATAAGGAAATATATTTTAATTGCTCTCTTGGCGAACTAAAGTAATGAACTGTAAACAGTGAGGTGCGAACGAACGAATTTCAGGCTCATTCAGTCTTGCTTATCAGCAGCATAGCCTAGGACCAAGTAATAGTTCTCAACAGCAACAAGCAAGCAATTCACGAGAAAGCAATATTCAGAGTGGTACTACAACGCTTCGTTCTAGGCATCGCTCGAGCCATCACGATGGCCTTATCAAATGTCATTATTGCCCTAAGAAGTGGGCCGACCAAGCTGTGGTTTGTTTTTGGACAAAAAGTTGGTAATAAATGGGTAATCCAAAAATGATGGAATACGAGATCAGTGAGATTTTTGATTTTTTTTTTAAATTTGTTGTTTGGCGGATAGCCTAGGCTTCAGTCGGTATTCGCGACATTGCAAATATTTTAAAATACGTCTTGCAACGGTAAAGTTCCTTCTCCTTCTTTGGCTTTTGAATAGTATTCATCGTTCGTAAAAATGTATTTTACATGCTGGCTGTTATCTTTTTTGAATTTTTACTACATATCTAAGAAATTAATATCAAGCTGGCCAATTTAATATGAGCAATTAAAAATCGAAAATAATTTTTTTATACGGAAAGCAGTGACTTTATTTCATTCTTCTGAATTCGTTTTCTTTCTCTGCTTGCATTTTCAATGCTTTTGTTCAGTTCTCTATTTACCATTACACTGTTCTCTGATGATATTTACAGCTTCTATAATTCTGTTTTATTTTTTATTTTTTTTCAAATATTAATAAATGAATAACAGTAGTAATTGTTGAATAATAAGAACCCTAAGAAATATGATGTAATTTATTCGCGATTACTGACTGATCATAATGATGTTAAACATTAAAATATGAAATTATTGGTTTCTCAGGGATTTTCAATTCCATACAAAATCGTCTTCAGCTTTTCTTAGTGCTTTTTTTTATTGTTATCGGCTATTGGTGATGATGTCTTACTTTTGTGTTTATATTGCTTATTGTGCGCTTCACACCATCTGCTAAACTAAATTTTTAACATTGTGTAGCAAAAGAATAGATTATTTTAGTTTTAGTTGTCATACAGAATGATGGCTATGTGGGTTAAACAAACCAACTTAAGTCTTTAATATTCTCTATTATCCTTTCTCAGAACACACAGTATAGGCTGCGGTGGGATTGGTTATGTAATTGATGGTTGTATTACAACTGGATGTTGTTCTTGATCAGCCATGATTCTTGAGTCATCGGATATGGAATTGGCATAGCATATAATTGATTATCGTTGTTGCACCGTCAAAAAACAACAGTAAAATGATGCTGAGAATATTGCTATTGATCTTCGATTTGCAAAGAACTTGTAATCATTCTATAATGTGATTTTAACTTCACTTCTACAACGGTTCTTCATGAAACTATGACTTACAAGCTGATTGTTACATAGTTTTGGTGCTGCCTCATGTTTCTTCTTGTTTGCAAAGACCGAGTCATATCATTCAGATTTATTATGATAATTCTCAATCATATAAATCTTTTAAAGCATAATTCGAGTTTCATGTAGAACATTTTCGCTTCTTGAAGAGTTATTTTTTTGGATATCTTTGATACTAAGAACTTGATTAAGATTTAGAGATCAAGGGATAAAATAACATAATATGCTTCCAGTTTAGTTTATGAGAAAGATTAGTCCATAGATGCAACACATTTCCTGTATGTTCAAAATACCCTTATAATGAATGATATATACATTGAAATGATGTTGGTCAGGAAGGAATGTTCTAAAAGCTGAAGTCGGTAGTTCTGCTTTGTTTAAATAAAGAAAACTTTACTTTTACATCCAACGTATATAAGCTTACTCAAGATTTAATTTGCTGCAATTGCTATATTGCATACAAAATATTCGCCTACCCTAGAGCAAAGATACAATTGAAAAGTTATTTGAAATGTTGACCCTATATTATAATTTAGAATGCATTCTTTATAGAAACCACTTAAAAATTTTTTACAGTAAAATTTGACTCACTCCTTCCATATGTTATGAACGAAATGTTATCTGTATCTCATATAATGTGGATATCAGTTTTAAGTTTGCGGGCAGTACCTAATATATTTCTAAGATATCCACCCTAGTTTTTTCTTCTATTCACAAAACTTACTAATTTTTTGTTGTTTTTACTAATGGAATAATTCTGAAAACTAAAAGACAAAAGATTTTTAAGTCATTCGAAGTAAAGCAATGTTTTATTTAATATTCTGTCAGTGAACATTTGGTGCTTTAGTATTGACCAGCAGAAACATTCATTTTGATCAGTAAATTATTTCTTCATATGAAATTTGGACTATAGATATTTTATGCGATTGATTTCTTCTAAACATGTAATCCAATGCTTGTCTGCTTGCGTTATTTCAAAGTCTCTGCCAATTCGTTTCATATCTCAGGACATCCTGAAGGAGGAACTGGTGTTCTCTAACGTTTTTTAATTACCTATAAGAACTAATTTCTTTTTTTTCAGTAGGAGTAATTGAGTATTGTGACTGTTGAATTATTACGTAAGTTATATTTTCTACGGAATGAGTATTTCGCTAATAAGGTCCATTGTTGGGAGGAAACTATAGCTATGAAATCTTAAAATATTAGAGCTTGTATAGTAGATGAGGACAAAAAACATGAGAATGCTGGTAGCATATTGTATAAATGGAATCTTATATGATGGATATAACGTAATGATCATCTGTATCAAAATAGTGATATACAAAAGAAATATTTTGGATTCAATAAGCATTTGGTATCGTTAGTGTGCATCAAATCTACTGGAAACGACGTTGCTTTGTGGTAGTTTTGATGAAGCGTTAAATTTTTGAGGATTGTTCGTTAAACTGAATATTCCTATTATATCCTGAAATTTGGGTCAACATCATAACAAGAACATTTCAAAGTTATAGGTCTATCATTATTTCGTCATTTATCAATTGAAAACTTTTTAAATCAGAAGCTCATAGTCCGGGATTTTGTTTGTGCAATTATCACTAGACCAAGCGGTATATCACTAGTACAGTGCTGTTCAATTATGCTAAAAGGATAAGAGCAGGGACATTCTATACTGAAGTGAGTAATATGTATTGCTTGAATCCATGACATCTAGATGACTTCATTTCCTGAGTTGTATCAATGCCATTTTTAGATTTTTAGAATCTCCATCAGCTCGCTTAAATTTTTATATATCATGCAGATATATTTGTATCTATCCAAAACTCGTTCAGTGAGATTTGAATGGAAAAAAATAGTGCACTGAGAATATTGATTTTGAAATATAAATTTTGAAGTAAAACAACCTAATTGTAGACAAGATAAAAAAGTCGGGTTATATAAATCAAATTTTCGGAATACCGCTTGTTATTTTGAATCCACAACCAATGGTTATCATCGATTTCAGCATGTTGGGAGACATCTTTTTTATTAATTTCCACTCTGTTGGACTATCATGAGTTAGAAATATCATTTTTATTATCGGAGTGATACTTGTATTCATCTTGGTCTTTCACAGTTTGCTTCGTTATAGATACAAAAAATTTCTTTTAAAATTAAATCATTCAGTAAACTTTCTTTTTCGTCCAATTCTTTGAACTATGACACCGGGAAAATGAGTAGAGAAAATAATTTTTGACTGTTTGGGCAAGCGAGCTTAATGGCAGCGTATAGAGTAGATTGCTGATTCACTTTTTTATTTCGAAATCCACAGTTTAACAATTAAAAAGAATATATATATATATGTTTTATGTTACTTTCTTCTTAGTTCCATGATAAATGCTTTCTCTAGTGCAGATATCCGGAATTTAGTCTACTCATCATGGTAATAATGAAAATTAATGCTACTAATTTTTACTATTAATTAAAAAACAGGGAATGTGGAGTACTAATTAATTGGTAATTTTGAATAGGAATAAAAATTAAAATCTTTATATTTTATATTTCTTGTCGGTGAGATGAAATCGTTGGAAATTTTAATTTTTTACTAGTTTCGTTCAGGTCTGCTTTTTACTTGTTGAAAAAGGATAGTGAGCATAATCAATTTTTTAGCTGCGAGTTCATATGGAAGAATGTCGATTGTTACGAATGCATGAATGTCAACAATGTGGTAAACGTTTCAAAGCACGCGGTGGTTTGCAGCAGCATTTACGCATACATTCGAACGATCGTCCGTATCAATGCCGTTTTTGTCCGAAGCGTTTCACTCAAAAGTCACATGTCGATCAGCATGAAAGGATCCATACTGGTTGATATTTCCTTACGATTACACAGGCCGGTGGTAGGATTCCTGAGCATTTTCTCTTATATGAAGATGAAACCTCGATTTGTGCAGTGTAGGAATGAGGTCGAGAGATGAAAATTGTGGCGTGTTAATGTTCTTGAGTATATATGCCTTCTTTTTCCATATCCAAAAAGGAGACTTGTATTTCAGGTGCCAAACCATTTTCTTGTCAATTTTGTGGTCGCGCGTTTCGACAGCGTTCTCAACAGCTTGGACATGAATCAACCCATGCCAGTGGACCCCTTTCGATGAGTGCGCATTTACCGCATGCAAGCTCTCATCATATCAAATTTGAAAATGCAAAGTTTGTTCTGTTTTTTCCCTTGTAATTAATTTTGTGGAGTGAATCAAGTATCAATTCATGGCAGGTAATGCATGCATTGTTTAATATGATGAAATTCTTTTTTCCTATGGCCACAAGCAAGTGACATACCATGTGATTGCAGTACCGATCAAGGATGCAGCCAAACAGCAGCTGGGGATGCCAGCAGTGTTGAAAGAAGTGCAGCTGTACAGCAGCAAGCGGTAACAGCGGTAGCTACCGCAGCAGCGGTTGCAGTAGCAGCACAACAGCAGGACCGCTTAAACAGTTCGGGGAGCAGTACCTTGAGTTTGATGTCACCGAATGGTACTGGATTGGCACATAGTGCAGTCAGTTCACTGTTAGCATTAAGTCAGCAGCAGCAGACTCAAGGAATGGCGATGTCACAAAGTACTCAGCAGACTATTGCCGATGCTATCGGTGCAAGGAATAGTGCAGTGTGAACGGAAGCTCAATGTGACCCTCATTTTTGCATCATTTTGCAATACTTTCATCTTATCTTCATGTACTATGCTTTTCCAGGGCACACTGCTGTATTCTCGATTCGATGAGCTGTATGTCTTGTTTTGTAGCGCCGCTCAAATTGTCTTTTCAAATGGATAATCGCTTGCTTGTTTAACTTGATCGTAGCATTTTTTTTATTTGGTTCAGACGAATTATAATGTTATTGACTGCCAAAATCCATCCTTTTAGATCGGTGTCCCTTCTATGTTTTTTCTGCCCTTTAAATTGAGCTTTTTCATACCAAACTCTTTTACGCCATGTTTCCCGTTTATATCGTTGCATAATTATTGGGAGGCAGTTTATAAGTCTTATTGGGTTTTGCAGTTCGAGATTGAGCTTTCAAACTTGAAAATTTTGAACAAATCGTTTATTTTATTGGTGACATAAGCATTACTTTCATTCATTTTTGCTTTTTTTCGGGTTATATTTTGAAAGGAAGTTTACATCCCAGATGTAGTTGGTTGCAGTGGAGAGATAACTTTATTAATAACTTATAGATTATTGATCAGTTTTTAAACATGCAGTGAATCCCGCTTAGTATTGAGGAAAGACAAGTTGTTTGTCGATCCCGGAATACGGAATATTTCCATGAAGAATTAGATATTTTGTGGCTCTCTAGACCTGCAGTTTACTTTTTTTAAATAGATCTTTTTTTTTTATAACTCAGAGGTTACTACTTTCACATTAGATATTAAAATTAGTTTGGATGAATCTGCAGACCTCGCTTCTCCTTTACAAAATGTTGGATATTTTGATATATACTTGCTACTTGAAAATTAATACCAACGATTAAGCTTGAGATCTTCGGTGTATTTATCATGCGTGTGTCATGTGTGTACATGTGTGTTTATGTCTTTTCTTTATTCAGTACCGTTTCTTGATATATTTCCCTATGCCGTTTCGTTTTCTCTTTCTCGGCCAGTAAATTATTTGGCTCTTTTTTACTTTCTCCATACTTGCCTTGCTCTTGCTAGTTTACCTGATAGTTTCATTTATTTCATGTTTTCAAAATCTATTCCAGCTGCTTTTTCTTGGAATTTTCCTTGGCAATTACCACATATGCGTCGAATTTTTTCTTTTCTTTAAAGATAAGTGTTGAGAGGTCTCTTTTTCGCCTTTCCGATTCTCTTAACTCAGGCATTCCAGGTCTGTAATCAGACAGGATCAAATATAGATTTTAAGCAAAAGTGAGTACAGTTGTGATTTATGTGGGTAATGACCAGCTTGCCTAGCAAATTTTACATTGTAATGGTTATGATTGCAGTTCTCGATATTGCGACTGCAACACATCGAAGCGAGAATTCCATTTTACAGCTTGGACTTTATAATCAAAATCCGTTCATTTGATATTCGGTGCATTTGTGTTTCAGTTAAATTATACTTTTAAATATTTGTTATAATTGCTATTAAACGATGCACTTGTAAAATGATTGAACGAAACTTTATTCTTCCGGAACATTGGTGGTATTGCGGGTCGGATTACCGTTTTCACTGATATTGTCGTAATTACTATTATTGTTATTGTTTATGGATGATTCCTCCTTCGAGATTTTTTCATTCAGTTTATTACTGGATTTATTCTTAACATTAGTCTAAGAAGACAATCATTGGTTTAAATAATTGCCACATTTCCTAATTATTGTATTCTCACCGAGCTTTGTTCTTTTTTATTGAATTTGTTGTCTGTTCGTTTTTATCGGTTTATTTTCTTACATTTTATTACGGTTGCCATTCGGGTCCTGTAATTTTTTAAATTGTAAAGTTGGAAGTATTTCTGTCTTTTTCCTTATTCTTTCGAGCCTTATTAAATATAGAAAATCTAATTTAAGGCGCACGATATTCTCTAGTTTCAAATCCATCATTTGTTGGAGCCTGAAAGATATAAGCTTTTTTCTGCAACAGTGTACCATGATTTCAGTATTCTTTCTCGAGATGATATACTGTTTGCATCAATATTCACAGGTCTTCCACTACTTCGAGGCATTGAGACTGCCGCATAAATTGCACAAATTCAACTACTCGACATTACGTGAACGAATGGGTGTTTCTATGTTAATTCGTATTTTCTTTTTTCTAATGACAGTTTAAGCCGTGATTTTCAGTCTACAATACCTTTTTGATTTGTCAAACTTTCTTATGCGAGAATGCGAGCTGAATAGTGATTCATCCTTTCTGCCCTTTCAGTGCAGTTAGTTATTTGTGAATGAGATGTGGAGATGGATTTTTCTTTTTTTTTTTTTTCAAAATCTGTATAGTTTTACGTGTTGTACCCATCATTTTTTCGTTTTGAAATAAAGTTAAATTAAGGGCTAAAATACTTAGATTTAATGTTTTCCATTATGAATTATACGTATTCTTGGTACAGTTTGTGGTTATTTCAGATCTGATTTAAATGGATGCACTTCGCAAGTGTCCACCACTTTGTTTATATACGCTGCCCCAATCCTTCACCCCGCATTTCATCCCGTTCTCTTGTCCTGTTTAACTTTCAAATAGTTGACGATAAGTTTATGTATTCTTTGAGTTTTTTATGCTTCTGCTACAGCTGGAAAATAAATAAATTGGGTACTTTTTATATTGTTGAATAAATACACTTTGTATCGTCATTGGGTTTTCGGTTCTTCAATTATTTTTAACTATTTGAACGTTGATATTTTCGTTTTATCTTAGATACATTTGTGTTTACACGTATCGAGTTTTCCTGGTAAACTAGGAAATATTAATCTGAAAGACATCAAACTACCAAGATTTTATGTCAGGAATGTTGATGTTGAAGAGATTACTATGACTAAATGATGGTTTTGGTAAGAGATGATTTAGTTTGACTGGACTTGTACTGCAGTCATCATCAGTTCGTTGCAAACTGAAATGATATTTATAGGTTCATAAGACGATTATTGGTCATATGCGGGTAGCCGGTTGAAAGTGGAAAATTTCAGGGCTCAACCTAAATTATTCTTGAACTGTTGTGCTATTGGCTAATGATTGTTGGATGCTAGACTCATTCAAGTCTGTATGGTTAGGGTATTACCAAAATAAATAATTCTGTATGGTTGCAAAATGGTCGAAATAAAATGGTTTATAATAAAGAATTTATTGAAGTAGACAACCTGTTTGGTGAGTAGAACCTTCACAAATATCGGTAAACTGATGAACTGCTTTTAGGTTGGTTGCGTGAGTAGTGTCTTCTTGACCTGTTTCAATTATCTTGATTGCTTCCCAGATTCGTATAAGCTTAGTTCGGGATAGTGAAAGTAAGCAATGATATGATAATATTGGCATGGACTTTTTGTTGCTTCATTTCTTCATATTGTATTATAAATGCTCATCATGCGCAAAAAATAAATTGCATTGATAAAGTTGGTAAATTTGTGAATCACAATGTACTGCTGGAATGGAATGAAATGTATCGCTGCTTCATCATTTATTTCATTTCATTTCATTCTTTTCTACATGGACACATGTTTCACTATTCAAAAATGTAACAGATTATCCAAATATGAAATATACGAAATGGACAGACGTAGTATCTCAATTTTCGATAGTTTTTTATTAAGTGGTAGTGTAGGTAGTAGCGCTCGTAGTTTTGCGAATGCACTATTGAATGACTCGACCCGAATGCTGTAACTTGTGAATAGCTATGAATAATGCATTCTTAAAAATCGACAAAAGGAATGAGATTAAATTATTTGAACTAACTTCGGTTCTGCTTATGGAAGCTTAGTTCATTCTCAAACTTCTACGATAGTTAATTGCAATAGTTTATTTGGAAAAAGTGTTGATATTAATATTATAATTGGTTGTAAAAAGATGAATTAGAAATGCCAAAAATTACCGCTCTCGACTGGCATGAAGATTGCGATATTTTGGCGTAGCGCGGCGTCGTTTCCGTCGTTCCGCTTTGCTCAATTTTTTTAACTCAATAGCTGATAACTGATGCATTACAGGAAATGTATGAATGCAAAGAGTGAATGCAAGACGGGGGATCCAGGAGGTGGCATGTCAATTTTATTACTAACAAGGGATGGATGGAAAGAAGAGAGACGATTTTGGATTAATTGAATCATTCACCAACAGCATACCCTTCTATACCATTGTTTCATTGGCGATTCTCTGTGTATACTAGGTAGGAAATTTCATTAATTTTGTCTGGATGCAGGAATAGAAGTAATTAGTAACCACATGCTGTCTATAAGCTAAGCTTACTGGCTATTTACTACTAGCATACTTAAAAATTTTCAAAGGTTTTCGGAATTTTTGCTATGTGTAAAAAATACTTTAATAATCACTTACTTCTTCATTAATTTAATTAAGTCACCTCTGATTTCTCACTAGAGTTAATTAATTAATGTAAGAGAAGACCACCACATTTACTTTTATAAAATTATTGTCTGTATTGCTATCGGATTTCAATATATGATGCTATTTAAATGCATCACATAGGATGATATTGTTTCCGATAACATTTTCGCATTCGATAATCTGCGTTGCACTGATTGTTGGACTTTGATTGCCACAATACATTTTTAAACATTGACTGCAAGATCTTTCCACATTTGAGTGATTCTGTAGAAAGTTATGTTATCAATTCGGCTACTTAATCATTCCAAGAATGAATTTATTATTTCAAAACATCTCGAAAAATCAAACGCTTTCAAAAATCCTCAGTAGTTCAAATGAATCTGGTGTCATGTTCTCTGAAGGCTGTTGCAAAAACATCTGTACAGGAACGTTTTTCTTTTTTTCTTTTTACAAATTCCGCAATTTTCGCCTTCCTAGCATTTCTTTTAATTTATCCTTCCTTTAAATTTGAAAACCATATTATTTGGAGGTTATGCAATGGAAAAAGGATTAAAAAGGATAGAAACATCTCCATAATATTGACAGCACCTTTTGCAAGCTTGACCGTTTGTCTCTCCAACAGAGCATTTGGTAAGAAATAATGGCATCTGCAGGTTCCAAATAAGAATACATTTCTTACTCAAAAAACTGAAATTTCATAATTGCTCATCTAAGTCATTGTAATAATATTACGTGAGAATAGGTGTCTATTTCAAAAATCTTTGCACAATTCGACTGATTAACATACAAACAGTAAATATGGGACTATAAGTAATCTTTAGCAATGATATATTAATAAAATAGATGAGCTGAACAATAAATTTAATATAGATATTTATACGGCATGAAGCACAAATTAAAATAGCTGGTAAAAGTAGAATTTAAATAGTTGAAAGATAAACGCAAGTTATAAAGTGATGGATTTTTTCAAAATTCTGACTAAAAAATAAGATAGAGCTAGTTGGGAATCACAGGTAATGGAAAAACCAATGAGATAAAGATAACCGGAAGAAAACATCACATTACAGTTGGCACAATGAAGCCCATGCGAAAAAAGAAAATAGGTAAGTGAAATAGTGATCTTGACGCTATTCAGTATGTTCCTTAGCGACTCAGCAAACTATACTGATTCGGACTGCAACTGCTGCAAGAAAAGATTTAGGTAGGTATGTTGACAAGTCGGTATGAAAAAATAGAAAGAGAAATATTCTAATAAGCGTTTGCGTAGAAATTACTTCCAGTCATGAGTTAAATTGTTCTTTCAAAAGTCTATCTTTTTTTTTACGCAGTCTATCTTCATGCTTCAGAAAGTAAATTAGCTGTTTTCTTCTATCGTTTGAAAATAAAAATAAATGATTACTTTAAAGCGACAACATTGAATAATGCTGAAAACTCACCGGTAATATGCATGGAATACTTTCGTGAGCTCTTTGTCTTCGTAAATCAGATTTGATAAGAGCTTGAAAATCCATAAAATTATAAACATTTATCATGAAACAATCCTAATTGGCAAGAAAGATATCTACTTTGCATTATACACGACTCTTAAGACTTATGGTTCTTAATAAATTGAGATATGGGAGTATAAAAACTAACCAGTAAGAAAAGTCCCAAAAATTAGAAATCCCGTAAGTGTTAAATTGCTGGCTAAAACACTACCATATTGAAGAATAAAACCAACACATAAAGTAAGTGCTATACCAAATATCTGAAAGTAAAAATTATATAAATCAAAATTACCTAAACGAATTACTTTCATCAAAGAATAATGTTGAGAAGCAGTGAAAGTTTTTCAACCACATAAAAAGAATAATCTCCAGGAAATAAAAAAAACCTGAGCAGAAGCATTTAGAAGACCTGACGCAGTTCCTTCAGCTACTGGAAAGGTTAATTCGGATGCAAATTCGAAACCAATCGGTAAATATCCTGTCATGAAAAAGCTGCAAAAAAAATGGTAACGCTTTTACGAGTTTTTTCAGCATGATATTGCAGGACTAATGCAGGTTATTTCTACGTCTCTTTTCTTTTGCTTATAAATTTCAAACTTAAATTATAGCCCATTTTCGTCCTATGGCACAAAAAAATCAATAAATTTCATAGGATTTTTGAGCTTCAACAGACTGGGAGTAATGTGTAAATTCTTTGTTTTGTTTTATCACTATATACAAATTTTGCACATGTGTGAATTTCTAGCAGAACTGCGAATCCTTTTCAAAAAGCAAATTTATTTCTCCTTAGTGGTTGTTCAATTTATTTTTTATGTTTTCGACGTGTGGTTAAATCACTACATTTTATTACATCTGAATTTCCAGCAACTTCGATTTCCTGTTGAGTTTAATTTTATTTTTGCCATAGCTTGTTCATCTAGTATTGATTAAACTTCTGACTGCATTCAAAATTCTTTTGCAAATTATACCCGAGAAGTATGGAGCTTGCATAAATGTACCACATCTGCTCGACATTCACCAAAAAAGTAAACAAAAGCATGCCCATTGCACAGAATATATATACAACAAGTGTAGTCAATCTTTAAAAAAAAAGTGATTTATAATAAATTATAATTTATAAGAAACTCAATACTTTATGGTTCTTACCAACTTTTTTTCTTTTTAAATGGCAAATTCTGATTTAACACATAGCACTTTTTTCATTCACTCATTCATTCATTCTTTCACTTATTTATTCGCCTGATGAATAACTATAGTAGTAAATCAGGTAAGGATTCACATTAAGCACGGGTAAGTTTTTGTGTGAAAAATAATGAAATGGAGAACGGAAATGAAATGATAATCGACTAATCACCCCAACTGCCATATTTGACAGTGCTGACATCCACAAGATAAATGTTGTGATATGACAGAACGGAACAAAGTTACAAAACTCTAATTGATGAATGGAAATGAACACCTACTTAAAGTGATGGAAACGGTCTAGGATGAAGCCACATAGCACTGAACCAATCATTCCTGCTAGAACCAGTAATAGACCAATCATTCCTATAATTTTATGACCTAAATAGCATTCGAATCAATCAAAAAATTATTTCAAAAAACAGCCCTTACTTTTCATTTAATAATATAATATTTTACTGATTAACTCTGTCATTCACCTGCACTTTCTTGTTCATTTGGGTGAAATATCAGTATCATTTGACTGAGCACTGTTGATACGGCATAAAATACACCAACATTAACTCCTTAAAATTTTATATAATACTCTAACATATTTCATTTTGGAAAAGCTCTAAAAGGATAGAGAAAAAGGTTACGCAGTGAACTTTTTAAAACCTCGAAAATATGAATCTCACAAACCTTAAAATTATCCTACAACATTAAGGATTCTTAAACCCACTAATCAACAATTATTTATACAGAAATTATACTTAAAATATTAGCTTAAAACGAATATGCTTTGCATTAGCACTTGTAATTGTGCCAAACTTAGTGGCAAGAGTAGTTTCTCTGGAAATCCCTATTTTTTTTTTTTAATTTTTCAACACTTATGTATTTGAATCCTGCAAGTGAAGCAGATTTTTAATGAGTAGCAATGGGCAACTTGCAGTGCATCTTCCATCTTGCTAAATGTGAATCTGCAAAATGTGAACTTGCAAACTAAAATAGTGACATGCATACCATAAGTAATGAAAAGAAGTGTAAAATTTGGGTTTGTCATAAGTTGTTTCAATGAATGGTAATAATTTTTCTCGCTGGTATCCTCTAGCACTCGTAGCTGTGCCAAACTTGGTGGTAAGGGTGGTTTCTCTGGAAATGCTAAAACAGCAACAAAAAAAAAAAAAAAAAAAAAGTTAACTTAGGTGATTTTGATTATAAAATGGAGTAATCAGGAAAGAAAAGTGAATCGAAAAATCTAGAATTTACAAATGTTTGAATTTTGAAGTGATCGTGCAGAGAGTAATATACGAGACATCAACTGATAATTAG